TTCCATGAAAGAAAGAAAAATGAAATTTCAATACTCCACTTTTCAATTTTTGAACGCAAACCGTGACACTGTGAGTCGGCCGGAAAGATCATGACCACTGTTTTATTTTAGGATACAGAGGGTATCCTATTCATTGATTACAAGGATAAGGATGGAAAAATACTATGCTTGTCTGCTAGAACAATTACAAACGGCTATAAAGGACAAAGGAAGAGAAAAGTGGAGCAAAGTTGCACAAGAGCAATGTTGCGATGGCTGCCGTTATCAAGTGTGGCTTCCAAACGCTTAACAACCCTCCGTACAAGTCCAATAAGATGATAGGACCTACACCTTATCTGTGATGATATATATAATATATGTAATAAATATCACGTTAAACAATAAATATACAAATTTGACAAAGTGTTGCTTTGCAAAGAGTGTAAAACTAATATAAAATGATTTAAACAGTATTAATAGATGGATTTTTAAAGACATGTTTTGGACTATTGATTTTATATAAATAAAATATATGGTATACATAAAAGATATATAATCTTGTTAAGAAGAAATTGTAGATCTTAAATATAACTTAAATGGTACATTTCAAAATATTACTATTAGCGTATAACTTAATAATTGATTGGAAGGCTATTTTAAAAAATCTGACAAACTTATTCGAGGTAGTACTTCTTAGCAATTTACATTATAACGTTTAAATTAAGTTATTAATGTAATCTAAAACCATTTCCGTTTAGTATGACGTTTGAGTTTTAACTCAATTTCATCTACATCCTTATCCATATCCTTCTTCAATGTTTTTCTTAGTTGTTTCTCTTTCACTTTTTCCTTTAGTTTCATTGGCTTTCGTTTCTTCCTTTCAACTGTGTCCTTATCATTATTTGATGGTTCACTTTTATTCCTAGCTATTAAAGTATTATTAATGTAATATACCACAGCCCTTCATAAGTATTATATTTACCCGTCTACTTTTTTTGCTTTATTCAAAGATGTGATCAATTTTTCTGAAGGATTATATATTTTTAAATAAGGGTTATAAAGCAAGTTAAACCCTTGACTTCTGCCTTGAAAACTGGTTAAATAAAGTTGGTTATTGAAATTAAGAACATTGTGAATAAATAGGTGGGTAAATACTCATGAGCAGTAGTGTATCGCTTAATTAAAACATGTTAATGCTTGATTAAGCACTATATTTACCAGCAAACAGATCCATGTGTCTATGTATACTTCTGTCTTCTTCCATTTCTCTACGGCGGTCCATTTCCAAACAGTCCACAATTTCATTTCGTCTTTCGACAATTTTTATTAATCTATTAGAAACAATAAATTAATTCAATCTATCAGTAAGAGTATACATATATAATTATAATGATTCTTATAAAATTATTCATAGAGTAAATTATTAAAAAAATAAAATAACGCAATTGTATGCATACATGATATTTACGAAATATTAAATCTAAATATTAATACTAAACAAGATATTTTGGTTCATATCGCGGGGGGAGGGGGTGTTTTCAATAGCATTCGTGATGTGGTAAAAAATAAATAATGCTAAAAATTTTTACGTTGTTTAAACAGAAAGACTGTCTATGTTTATAAATACGACTATAGATAATGAACGTTGGAATAACACGATGTTTTGTATGTTAATAAACGTTTCCAGTGTGTATTTAGAGTTGACTTTCTTCCTAAGAAAATTTCTTATGGAAATGATAGAATAATGTGTAAGGAATGCGAGATTATGGCGAAGTGGTGACCAAGGAAGAGAAAGCGCGCGGGTACCTGAGGGTGCCATAAACTAAGCCCTTTCCCCGGAAAGTCGAACAAGGGGGCTCCAACGGTTTTTCGGAGCAACGCAGGATAGGACGCGGAGAAGACTCTTATTATAGCCGTCGAGCGAGACGGACACCCGAGTACATTAGTCACCGCTTATATTCAAAAAATAATACATTTTGGTTAATAGCCTATCGTGTGTTCGTTTTTTGAAGCTGTGCTAACAAATGTCTTGTTAATTTCTAATGCACAGAATTCGTTAATATTAATGTAGGAAGCCGAGCCGCTAAGCACAAATGACGGTTGAACCGCCTCAAAATCGACGCGTTTTACAGGAGTGATTATTATAAGCTCCTAAAATCTTAGATCCCTTTTTTCTAACACCCTGTACAGTAATGTCTCTCTTATTGACCACCAGCCCGGAACCTAAACAGGACAATTTAAGAATCAAGGACACTGTTTTCGAGCCTCGCGTCCGCCTTTGTAGTTTGCCGAACAAAGACAAGGACAGCGAATAGAAGATAAGGATGAAACGTGAGTCGAGGCAACCAGGCGATTTAAATACCAACTTTTTCAATTTTACGTTTTTTATCCCGAAATGTTTCTTAACATATTGATGAGATTTTTCTGATGAAAATGATATCAAACACGATATAATTTGAACTCATGCAAATTCGTTGGATGGTAAATTATTAGTAAACAAAATTCAATATCAGAGAAAATATATGAAAAATTTCAAATTAATTTCAATTGCTGGAAGAAAAGTAACGAAAAGGCAACCTCTCAAAGTCATTTCAATATCCTATTCGACAAGTCTGAAGAACAACGATGACTAAAATTCAAATGTTTATTTCCCTAAACCTTCAAAATAATTTCGAAATATTTTATTCGAAGCGGAGTATTCCAAGTCAGTATCGATAATTGAAGAAATTATTTGATTGTATTTAAAAGAACCGAAAGGAGAATATTTAAAGTCTGATATTAAATGTCTAGCAAGTACCAGTAATTGGTAAAATGATTTATATTTGTTTTAAAAGGAAAATTTCTAATAGGTATTAGTTAAAATGAATTGTTATTCAGTCTATTGTATTGAAATTCTAATTGATTCTAATGTATACAAGTGTTACAAGAAGGCTGAGTGTGTACAGGGTGGACATAGGCTAGCTAGTAGCCCCCGACCACTCTATGAACTTTAACGTCTATACTCGAAAGTGTATCGTCAACACTAACACGTTACCCAGATTATCCAAAAATTGAAGAAGTTACTTTTAAAATTGAACATTCTACGGTGTTTCGAGAGATTTGATAATCATAGTCGAACCTTAAACGAACGTTCAAACGAAGAAAATTTTCCAAAAATCATTTCGTACGTTATTAATCGATAAAACAAAAATTCATTGTTGAAAAATAAATATTTCCTGAAAATCTTCATCTTCCATACAAGATTCAAGATTTTCCCTAATTAAGAGTAATTTCAAAAGATTATCTGTATAAGCTATTATTTCAATACGCGATGCACTGACTCTAGTATTTACTAAAATTCAAAAATTCTCGTATAAATTCCGAAAATAGATTATTAATTACGGTAAACTACTGAGACGGTTTAATTAAGGGTGGGCATGGTGCTGCTTTAGTTTGAAATGATTTATAAACACATAATTAACAGAGGAAAAACCGTGAAACGGCAAAACGTCTACATTCTAATTGTTATAACATGTAAACAGAACTTTAAATTTAGTGTAAACAGAAAAAATATATAATACAATTTATTTCACGGTATTGCAACAAATAAACGTTGAATCAATATTTAATTCGTATAAAAACAATTATTTAACGTAATAATTTTACCTTCACTATGGCTATTTTAAATTTACGACCAAGGGTCAACCTGATTTCTAATCCTTACGAACTTTAAATTCAGTCTAAACTGAGAAAATATATAATACAATTTATTTCACGGTATTGCAACAAATAAACGTTGAATCAATATTTAATTCGTATAAAAACAATTATTTAACGTAATAATTTTACCTTCACTATGGCTATTTTTAATCTACGACCACAGGTCAACCTGATTTCTAATCCTTACGAACTTTAAATTCAGTCTAAACTGAGAAAATATATAATACAATTTATTTCATGGTATTGCAACAAACAAACGTTGAATAGATTCTTAATTCGTATAGAAACATTTATTTAAAATAATAATTTCACCTTCACTATGGCTATTTTAAATTTACGACCAAGGGTCAACCTGATTTTTAATCCTCCGAACTTGATTTCACAACGAGAAAGTAATAAGATCGTTGAAACGTACTTATTTGTCAAAGAAACTTGCAAAAATGTATAAATAATAATATGTAATGTTTTAACAAATTTTTGGAAGTATAAATTAATAATAAAATTGTGAAAATTAATAAATTATACGTTATTATAACATTAATAGAATTATGACTAAACCGAAGTTCGAAGTCGAGTATTTAAAGTCTGATATTACGTGCCTAGCGAGTGCCGGTAATTGTTAAAATTTGTTTAATAATTAGTAATAGAAATTCTAATTGATTCTAATGTATACAAGTGTTACAAGAAGGCTGAGTGTGTACAGGGTGGACATAGGCTAGCTAGTAGCCCCCGACCACTCTATTCACATCTCAGAACCTTCAGGTCAAAATACGCCGCGAAGTGTCTATGGCCCAGTATAAAGGGTGAATAAATTCGCGGGACATCAGCGGGTCCTTATATACCTGCGGTACCCTCTCCCCAAAGTCATTAGCAAAATCGTCGGTTAGGTCAGGCGGGAATCGACTATTTTTCGCGGGAAACCGATTACTTTTCGCGGGAAATTTCTGTTCTTAATTTATTACTTGCAACAATCTATTATAACGCTACATAGAATCATTTATACGTTTCTATAACTTTATTAAATGGATAACTACGTTTCAATTTCCTCGTTACTTACTGGTGGTTTAATTAATTTGCTAAGGATTAAAAATCAGGTTGACCTGTGGTCGTAGATTAAAAATAACCATAGTACAGCTAAATTTATCGTGTTAAATAATTCTTTTTACACGAATGAAAAATGTATTCAACGTTTGTTTGTTATAATATCGTGAAATGAATTATTTGTGCAGTTCTGTGCATTTTCTGTGCAGTTCAACCTAATTTACTTAAATTTACGTTGCGAGACAGTAAACTTACTGACTCTTGTAGAGAATTTACTGCACTTTGTCCAGTTTGGTGAAGAATATCGTTTAAATGCAATGGAAGTTTACCTGTGTTATTTTTCTTTATAAATGACCACAGGTCAACTTGATTTTTAATCCTTATAATCTTTAAATTCAGTGTGAATAGAGAAAATGTGTAATATTATTCATTTCACGATATTATAACAAACAAACGTAGAATAAACTTTCGATTTGTATAAAAAGGTAATTAACGTAATAATTCTACCTTCACTCTGGCTATTTCTTCAGTGCACGACCGCAGGTCAACCTGATTTTAATCGTTACGAACACAGTCCCACCACGAGAATTGCAAAAAATTGCAAAAATGTATAAATGATAATATGTTGTGTTGTAAGAAATTGTGAGAAGTATGAATTTACAATAAAACTTGTGAAAATTAATAAATTATAGGCTGTTATAAAGTTAGAATAGAATAATGGAAATCTCCCGCGAAAAATAATCAATTCCCGCGAAAAATGGTCGATCTCCCGCGAAATATGGTCGATCTCCCGCGAAAAGTAGTCGATTTCCCGCGTAAA